GCCGAATTGAAGCCAGCCTCAGGGACATTGACAGGTCGCTCTTGCTGTTCCTTTCTCGGTGGACTATTGTATGTGCATGATGCCGTTGAGGTAAACATCATAGCCTCAGTATGATTTGTAACTCTGAAGTTGAACTTGGGAGCAACTAGCAACTTGACTAGGTACGTATGAAGACAGCATGATAGTTAATAGTTCAAAACCAGCAACAGGAAAGCAGAGTAGGGTGTTATGGAGGTGCGCTTTCCATTGTTTGTATGTCCTGGAGGGATCAATGGTCGCTTCATGGATCACACACATCTCAATGTATGATTGCTAAGGGGCTTTCGGATTTCGAGAGACCCTCAAGTTGATATCATACCTGCAGATCGTGAGTACCAGGTGGTTGTGAGGCAGAAGCTATATATCAAGGTGCCTGAAGGCAGTTGCAAGTGCGGGTGACGTGCTAGCTACATGACAAGAGCATCGTGTTGCGGCAGAGGAGCAAGGCACGTGTAGGTCAATTTGAGGGAACAAAGACTGGAGGTTTTCACGTTTGTTTCCGTAGACCAATAGGAAGCAGAGACCTGGTGAACTTTCGACCAAGCTGACCAGGTCTAAGATGCATCGTTAGCATGCCTCGTGGAACTGTCCACCATTCTCCATATGCAACCACGGTAGGCTTGGACAGTGGGACAGAAGAGGAACAATACGTGTTGCAGGAACGATAACCCACCTATTTTCACGTTTCCGCTTCACTGGATTGCACGATGACCCTGACGAAGCTGCAGAACACGTTTCATTCCAGCCAGCCTCATACACTCGGTACTTGGAGCAAATGACGGCAAATGGAGCAGAGTGAAAACGGACGACCAGACCACCCAGCAGGTGCAATTGTTCACTGACCAGACCATCCCAGGTTCACTGCGAGCAGCGCTACTACTCCAGTGGTAGCCATTGCGAGGTCTCGTGCCCCAGCGGCTACAGGTGCGGTGCTCGGTGGGGTTTCAGTCGGTTGGCTTTCAGGTTTCAATGGGTTTTGCGGTTCCGATTCGTTGATGTGTTTCTGCTCATGGTTTGTGGCCCCCATGTGGGCGGGTTTTCACTCGACTGGCATGTGGTTTTTGGAGGTTTAAAGCCTAACACATCCCCTCACACATGGTCCTTTGAGGTTCTTTCACTAGAAAGAAACAAAACTGTTGTTATTTAATAAGCCTCCAACCTGCCTGCGTGTTTCGGCGGTCGTACGACTTTCAAGGGAACCCCTTGAAAGAAAACGGTATGGAAACGTTCCAGGCGCAGGGCTTCGTCCTTCCTTGCAGAAACTCGGATCACGAGTGCCTAGACTTGTGAAATTCTGTGCCCAAATAGCCGGAGGACTTCAGAGCGATCCCAGCGAAAGTGGTGACATGCGCGATGCTTTGCATGTTTTAAGGTTTTCCCGAGAGTCCACATGTTCTGCATTGGGTACTGGCACCTCTCAGATCCTCTCAGTACGTCGAATGTTAGAACACCAAGAAACAAGTTGATTCCAAAGACGCTGTGCTACATCGAGAATTGACCACATGTCGTAACATAAGCTACTAGGGGCTCCTGGCATCGCTACTAAGGAGCAAGGACGCTACTAGTAACATGGCACCCTCAGTCACCGCGTCCTGGCCAGGAAGATGAGCGACTCGCTGTGCGCCGGGGACCAATGGCTGCTCGGCACGATGTTCGGGCGGAGCGAAGGGAGACGTTGAGGTCCAGTCTACGTGATGGACAGCAGAGGTTCATCAGGTTTCTGACGCAATGGGTGAAAAAGCAAGAGGAGACCACAGATCTTGCGGAGTTTTTCATGAAGGGGTACAGCCACCTGATTGGAGAGAGACCCCAATGGCAGCCAGGGAGCTCAGTGAGAGAATTTGGAGGGAGGAAGAACGAAAAGCGAGAAGAATTACAAGCTCCGGAGTCGCAAAGAAGCCCCTCTTGAACAGTTAAGGGAACTGGCTTAAGGGCTTTCAGCATCTTTCACCTGCAGGTGTTTTGTTGATGTTTGATGTTTTGAGGCGATCAGGAGTGACTAAACGTTCGAACACTTTATGGACCAATGATAAGGGACCACTTCACAACTATATAAAGAGTTACCAAGACGTCTAAGGTACCCTCCATTTAAGAAGTTGTCTGACGAAGGTTGTTGTTAGGTTGGAAATCTAAAGGTGTCAACAAGTGTTGGATTGTGTTTAACCCGAGAGCCGTGGCAGATGCAAAGCGTCATTGTTTTCCAGTGGTCCTTCTACGCCTTCAAAGCTAAGCATTGGGAAACTTGGCCCGCTCAAGTCCGCAGACAAACTTAAGGATATCCCAAAAGAAAACACAATTAGCGCATTAAACAGCATGTTTCTTCGTTGAAGTGAAACAACGGGGAATGAATGTAATTTCACGCTTCCCGGCCCTTCTGTATGCACATTCATTGTTTTATGTCCACAATTTGCAATTATTGCCTTGCTTTGTTACGAACCCAAAGGAACACCAGAAGGAAATAAACCAACAAGTGTGCTCAGCGTGCTCTTGATTAACACTCCTGGCAATATCGAGGTCTAACCGGGGACGGTAGTAAATCCAAACCGACGAAGGGATTGGGGGATGAACATACAACAACTGGCCGCTATAGCCATCTTCAAGTGTTTTGCAGGGTATTTGGAGATAATGGGATGACATGACTCGCTTTTGACCGCCTCTCAGATCCAAAAACAGAGTATAGCTAAACATGTTTGGGTGGCCATACAGAACTTCCGTCACCGAAAACACCCTCATCGGTGAGCTTGGGAAATGGTCCTTAGACTCGGAGCGGGTGACCTGCGAGGCTTCCAGGCCTTTGCGACGGAAGCTGCTTGAGTGGTCCAATGTTGCCAAACAGCGAGGAGCAGACATGTTCACCTGAGCAAAAAAGGCCACCGATCCATGCAAATTCTGATATCCCTCAAAAACGGTTTCTTCTTCAATGATCTTGTATGGTTATTAATACATGCATATGATGGTTTCTAGTTTCAGAAGTTTGAAGCTGTTTACACTAGCCGGCAGCTTACCACCGAAGTTTAACGAAATATGATATATGAGTTTATTGAAATGTTGAAGCCTTGTTCCTCTCAGCTGTAGAATTTCTTTGTTGACTGCAGGTGTCACTCCTTGGACACACAAGGTTACCTCAAGAACAGGGTTTCACTCTCCAGTTGCAGAGATTGCCGCATCTTGCAAAGCTGAGCAAAGCTCTCGCACACTCTGCTGCACCCCTGGTCAGATCCGTGGCCACAGGACCTCTCCACCTGCGCTGGAGCACCGCAGAACAGCACCTGCCGAGTGCTTTGTCGCAATGGGGAGTTATGGAAAATAAGAGATCGGTGTCCCTCAAACATCCTTCCAGTGACTGGTCAGAGCGAAAAAAGAGGGAAAACTCCTATGTTGCTGAGGTTTCGCTATGTTGAGACGGCGAGCAGAGCGTGCTTGCCGTGCAGAAAAACGAAACAATGTGACCTCTACCCAAACAAAGAGAGAGAGAGAAAGAGAGAAAGAGAAAGGCGTCTTAGTAAATGCTATCCCCGTGTAGAAATTCTGTATAACTCTTTGTAACGGCTGCTTCTGTGGGACATTCCTCCACAAGACGGAGGCACCTTGGTCCACTCGTTCCTCTCTCGGTGCGCTCCGCGGCTGGCTCCGTCCGTGCGCGACAGGTGAAATGCTTGCCTGGCTTCCAAGCGACGCTGGAGCACGTGGCGACTTGGTCCGATCGATAGTCATCCTTCTGATCTGTGAGGGGAAATGGTTGCCATGGTGGTGGGTCAATGTTCTTTCGGTTCTCCTTCCATGAGCTCCGATAGGGGCCTTTTTCATCCTATGTCTATTCGATTACCCATCTATCTCCCACTTCAATGAACGAAGTGGTGAGGACACCAGTGCCAAGTGATTCACTTGAGGTTGTAAAGTATTTGCGTCGGCAAATCGCTTCCTTCTCGGAGCTTCCAAAGCCCGTGCAACGCTCGTGCGCCGTGCGGCTCGTCCAGGTGTGCCACGCGGGGCGTTGGAGTGTGAGTCGCTGCGTGGAGCGTCGGTGCCCGAAACCCGGGCGACCTCACTTCTCTGCGCCTCGACCAGACGGCCAAGTGCGCTCCAAATTCAGCCGAGCAGTGGGAGGACTGGGCCAGTGGCCAAGCGGCTAACCCTTTACAAGAACAGGTGGAGAAAGCTTTAAGCCTTATTTTCCAATCTTTTCCAAGGAAACTGAGGGGTTCCTCAGCCTTTGTCTCCACTGGGCGCTGTGGGATTCGATCGAGGGAGCGGTTGGAGTGGACAGTGTGCCTGCCCCAGCAGGAATGGGGCAATGGGGATTAATGGAGATCGCCATTTTGGCCAGATCGCATCAGTTTTCTAGATTTAAATCTCGCACCTGTGACATTTGTCCTTGACAAACGAAGTCCCCGCATGAACACCACAAAAAAAATACCAGATTCTTGAGGGAAAGCGATGCAGTATGTCGTGTGATTTTGTTGATTCCATCCCCCTGCCGATTGACAGAATTTTGAGGAAGCCACGAGAAGGCCAAGGGCCAGGGTTTCGACCGCTGTGGCTGAGGCTTTGCAAATCCAAGTGCATGGGGATCGGTGCGATATATGAGATAGCTTCAACTGGCTTTGAAGTCTGGAGCACTTTGAAGTGTTTCAGCGCAGGGCCTGGACACGATGTAGGACGTTGGCAGTGAAACCACTTTGTTACGTAGACAAACTGAGCAACCTTCCCCCAACCTGATCCTCTATTGGTTCTTTTCCCTGTTCTTCACTGTGTCTTCACTATACAGTTTAGTGAGGCAGCAACAAGGTGGTTGCACGTGTCACTTCGAACCAGCCGAGTGCTCTTAACCTTTTACCCACCCACCCCTTCCATCTATTGACAATGCTCAGGTCGGGAACCTCTCCCACTGCGACGGCCTGCGCCACGGCGAGCTGTGTCCCCTCCGCTGCGCGGAAGGCTTCCGAGCCCAGCCCGAAGCCATGCTTTGCGCCGAAGGCGAAGCGTGGAATTCAGGGTTGAAAATGGGACACATACAGACATATATATCATACACATATATATATATATGCATATATACCCATTTTGATGTGAGCGCATCAACCCAGGGTCTAGCTAAGAGCCGGTAGACATCTGCACAATTCTGCACGTATGCCCTCGACGAGGACTTCGCTTGCGTCAGGTCACTTCACCACTGCGCGGTGCGAACCGCTGCCCTGTGGCTTTCCCATCGTCCGCGGGAGCCGCTGGGGCCGATCTGGTTGGAGCGGTTGGAGCAGTTTCAGACCGTTTGGGGCGCACGGATAGAGAGAGACAGGTTTTCCAGGTCTATGGCACTCTGCGGGATCACTAAGTGAAAGTGCAATGACACTCACTCCTTGATATAATTAGGGGTTGTTTCTTGTTACTTCTTATGTGCCTGGACAGGGTTATGGATATTTCCTGAGAAGTCGAAGCAAGACTCCAAGCACCTTCGCCAAACAATGGGACCTCATGGCCCTCTTTTATCCAACTACATCCACGAGCTGAGCGAGAGGTCTCTCAGTTCGATATGATGCTATCTAAATCTAAATCTTTGGATTGTGAATTGGATGTGACAACATGTGGACTCAATCTCATTCGATGCTCCCACCGAACATCTCCCAGCCTCCTTTCTTCGGCAGCGAGGTGGCGACCTGTCCATTTGTGATGGCTATCCCAGTGGATCCATCTGTGAGCTCAGCTGCGTCGCTCGCACCATTGGGCTGCGTGCTTTGCGTTCTTCTTCGCACCGGCGAACGGAGGGGGGGAAAAAGACTCACAAAATTCGTAGGGCCATCCAGCATGGTGGTTGTTCAGGTCCCTTGCTTTGGAGAAGCCTTGGGCGCAAAGAAATCAGACTATTTTATATAGCATCTTCGAAATAAAGAAATTACGATTGTAATTACTTTCCCTGAAACAACAGCCTGGTAAGAGGATCCGACCCAACTGGGCATGGCTTTCAGTGTGTGGAAAATAATGATTCCATCGGAAACTGTAAGGAGAGAAGCGACACATCACGAACCACCATAGGCACCGAATTTCTCGGCCAACTTCTTGTGCCAAGGCCTCGGGCTATGTGAAGTCTGGTGCCAACCTCCGCTGTGAGCGTGGCCTTTGGAGCGAGGCCGGTCGAGTCCACCGGAGGGTCACGGAGGTTTTTCGGGGAACGACCGCGGAACGACCGTCGTGGAGGCAGAGGCGTTTTGAGATGTTTTGAGAGGACTCTATATCGACGTTGGTGGAACTGACAGAGGGTGGAGATCCTGGTTTCAGGAGTGCCCCGTCTCCTTGAAGGCTGCTGACCAAAAGCTATCAGACACAGAGGAGGTTGCAAAGGACTGCAAGGTTCCTCTACTCTAGTATTCAGCACAAGTAGCCCAAGCACTGTATGAGTTTGCTTTGTGGCCACTTCATCAGAGGAGATTTGAATACTGCATGGGCCAACTCTACAATCACGTAATATTACACAACCCTTTTTTCGGCTCTCTATGGTGCTGCTACTGGAGTCCAATGGGTGACCCCAAGTTTATTTGTTTTTTGGTCGCCTGGAATTGAACTGCAAGACCTCAAGAGTCACGAAGCAACTCTTCCTCTTTCCTCTTCTGTGCAACGACTGGGCATTCATGTGATGTATACAAATAATTTTGAATTTCCGTGCACAAGTAGCAACTCGGCAATGATAGTCTGCTCCCATTGCTGATACTTCAACAACATGTTGAGCCAGAATTTGAACGGAATCCAGTAAACGACGACTGAGGAAGCGGCTCACCAGAAAATCGAAGAAATTCGTGTGCTTTGTTGTTCCGAGCCACCATGACAGAAATAGGTTTGCCAACCAAACATGTTGAACTTGATCCCCAACCCGACTCAAACCATTTGTTTGGTCAGGCATGTTCATAGAACAATGATTTTATTAGCTTCTATCATGATCCCAAAGAATTTGACCCACATGTGTGTCCACTCCTGTTTCCAAGGACACTACCCTAGCTCTTTCTAACTTTCCCTAGGACTTTTGTGACCAATGTACAGCAGCAGGGGGGGCAACGGCCAGTCTTCTTACGTTGCCCAACGAAGCTACAGAAGACTGGTGGAAGCATTCAGGGACGCCTGAGTGTGTACCTGCTCTCAATTGTTTAAACCATGATTTGTTACAACAATTCCGTTCGTCCGACTTTGCACCTTTTTTCAGTCAAGGTCTAATCTGCAGTAACTCTAAAGGGCTAATGCACACCGCGAAGCAGCCTGAAATCGCGCTCCACGGAGCAACCTTCTCAAGTGTGTCTCCGCAGCTTCTTCCCACTGTGGTAAGCTGTGTGATCCCTCGACCTATTATACAGTCTACAGTTTCACTCATTCAAGTTCAAGGACTGTTTTGATTCACACCTCTATTTACATACATACATCGACTTTACTCGACTTGCCGAGCAGCCATGACGTATCCCTGGCCGTATTCACTACCACCACATCTACAGCAGCAACCACAGCCCACACAACCACACTGGTTTCCATACCCATCACATGCTCCACCACAGCCATACCCAACACTGCCACCAGTTCCACCACATCATCCAATTCCACATGGTTATCCATTTCCCACACCACATCCACCTCAAGCCCACTACATGCAGCCACTTCCAGTACAGGCACATCTTCCAGTACAACCTACCGCTCCTCTTGACAGTACCCAACATCCACAACAGCATCCACTTCACGCGACACAACCAACACAATCCCATGTCCACACACACCCCACACAGCCACCTCAACCTCAACCTCATCAACCACATCACCCACATCCACCACATACGACAAGCCAATTACCACCCACACCATTACTACAACCACCACCTCCTTCAACTGATCCACCACATGCCACCAATGACCGCTACACCACAGCCTGCCACACCGGCTCCACCACCACCACCACACACTCCAAGCCGCCCCCACTGAACCTGTTTCAGCATCCATCACCACACCGGCTCAGCCTCCGCCACCACCCAACGTGCCACGCACAACCAAACCGACACCATCTATAGCACCCACACTCAGCACCACAAGAGGTATTTGGCGCGACCCAGATCGCTCACCACCTCGCACACCTGAACACCACCGCTACACAGCTTTCCCTGCTGTCCCCACCATTGCACCATCACAAGCTACATCCAGATCCAGGAGCCGCACTCGTTCAATACGTACTACCCGCTCTCCATTGCCACGAAGACGAAGCTCAGCTACACAATCAATGGCCAGCTCACAACCACACTCCACGCCTGCTGGCAGACACACATCACCATCACCAGCACTCACACAAGACAAAGCTCACACCTCCACCCAAGACATCACAGCTGCCACCACCACAAAATGCAATCTAGACTCACCTCACCGTACTTCCAGCATCACACTCAAACCCAACCCACCCCATTGCACCACCAACTGTTCCCGTTCAACGTCGTCCTCACAACCTGCCTCCTCCAAAATTCCAACCACCCACTGATCCTGCACAATTGGATGCCTTCCAATGGATCAACCACTACGCACAATCACTTGACGTCAAAAATGAACCCATGATTTCCTACGTGGCCAAAGTGCTTAGCGCAGCCCATCTCAACAGCACCCACTTTACGGACCTGCAACTTCTCACACACACACACAAAATGGAGCGACGACACCAACAAAGAAGAACATCATTCATTCCTATTACTCACCATCCCCACACTGGCGAGCAGGGGCGATGCCCCAATCCTCCCTCCCACACGGCGAGAAGCTTTGAACATACCACCGATAAAACACATTTTTGCGGCACATGTTAGTGAGGAGGGAAACATTATTTCCATACTCGAGGCGGGCGAAATTGTGAGATCCGTTCTACACGATGACCGCAACGTAGGCTACTTTTGCCAAGCTTTCGAGCTATCGAACTATGAGCCACATGATGTTGCTGAAGCCGCACGAGTGTTACGCAATGCTTCAAACATGGCCAAGAATCGCAGCGGCCTCATCCTGACGATCAAAGCCTACGGCCATGGCCAGAAAGTAACTCATGGAGGCGAATCCGCAGCGAATGACCTGCTGCTTCGAGGTGAAGGGATCGTGAAATATACACCAGGAAAATGCTGGGTAGCACACCCCAAGCATTCAAGAATAGAAGGGATTGCTTGGAAAAGCGATGCAAGGCCACCGCTCAGCTTCATTTAATTCAACCTATCCAGCCCAAGAGGTTCTATTTCACCCCATATCTCGGATGACGACAAGGCCTCAAAATTTCCATGCTGCTTGCACCTGATTTATATTTCATTTTACTCATTGAGGACAACCTCCGTTATATTCAAGACGCTACATCCGCATGGATTTCTGCAGACAACATGACATTACAATCACCACGATTGATGCCATGCCAGTTTTTTCCGTTTTTTCAGCTTTTCAGATTGTTCTGAGACTTTCTAACACTTTGATGCGATTCAGCGTGATCTCTGGTTTTATCCCATGACCTTTTCGACACTCTTTTCACTTTTCACTTCCTCACCTTGCACCGCAGCCATTTTGTATTATTCAAATTATTGAGCACGACCTTTTACAACCGCACAAGCCATATTAGTCCTACGACGAGTACCACGACGATGACCTCTCCTATGGACACAGCATTTGCACATCGACTTCTTTTAGCTCACCTTCAAGCAGCCACATCCATTGCCACTACGTTCCAAAACCTTCCACTCTTTACACCGCAACCACCACCGCTTACCCACCACCAACCTATTACCACTCCAACCTCTTCAAAACGATCAAGCAGACGCACTCCACCACCGCAGCCACCACCTACTCTCTCACGCAGTCGCAGTCCACCTCATACGACTGGCCAATCTCTCTTGAGATGCAAACCAGAACCTTCACCCTCGCACACACCCACCTCACCTCATCAGCACTCACCACAACACCACAAAGACAAAGCGACTCGACCGCGACTAGAACACAAGAACAATACAGACTTCCAACAACAGCTCACACCACCGATCACAACGATTTCTCTCAACAGCTCGCCCACCTCACCTCCACAGCCACTACCAATTCCGCCACTTCCTACACCAGCACCTCCCACTTCACCAGTACCACCACCAAAACCATCACAAATTCTCACGGACTCTCCTCCTTATCCTGATAATGGAGGATGGGAACCCAGCGATGATGAGAAACTGGCGGCCTTCAAACTCAACAAGCGAGCCCGCCCGAGTTGGAAGTACATTGCCAAAGCACTCCACAAAACGCCTTTTGATTGCAAAGGTCGATGGCAAGTCTTGCGGATTCTCTACACACCTCAACAGCCAGAGAGCCCAGAAGCAGAAGCAGAAGCAGCATCACCTCACAAAACATTTCACCAAGCTGAGGCAACGCCTCCAGCCACACGGGACGCCAGTACGATGACTACAGAAGCCCCAGCTCCATCAGACAAAGAGACATAGATCAACAGCACATGATTGACAGCGGTTCACTTTGTCACACAGTCCGCCTACAAACCTACTATTTCCCAGGACTACTTTGTGCTGAAGAACATCCAGAATTATTGATGGCTTTGTACTTATTGTCAATTCACACTTATTTACATATTTGCCCAGTGCCTTTTGTCGTTTCAGCAGTTGTGAGCAATAGACTCCAACCCAAGAACACTGCCATAACTTTCTTCCACACGTGCTGCCAAGAACATGATCGTTTGCCAGTGGAGCCCATTTTGTTCGAACAAGCTTTTCTCACACCGAATGTTGTCAAATATCCGACGATTGCCACGCCGTCGATTCCATGTACAGATCGGTCAGTTCTTTGCACCCAATTCACTCTTCTCCAATGCATGTGCGAGATCTATTGATTTTTATTGTTATTGTTATTGTTGGCCTTGATGACTATTACTGATCTTGGTTTTACCTTGATGTTATTGCAGCTCGGCCACTCAACTTAGCTCAGCTTTTCGTTCGTGTACAGACCCCGCGATGGATTCCCTTGTTGCCCGACGCTCAGATTATTTCACAGCTGCGAGACACCAACATCCAGATCAACCGGCTGATGGTACTTCAACTCAACCGACTCCATGATACAATCAAACAATTACAACTAGCAGAATTCGACACCAACAAC